TTCTCTGGTCTGCCGCTGCCTCAGTCGCCGCTGCCCTGCTCTCTATAGATGTCTCGATTTCTGCAATTGCAAGACCTTCAATCAAGTCCTTTCTGTTGCTCCAGTTCCGATCTACCGCACCTATGTCACGGTCGGCCTGCCCGCCGCCCCATGGCCTCCGCGCCGCCATCCATCGCCGCACCGCGCAGCCAACCGCAGCTTGGAATTCCGCATACGACCTTCGACGCCTACACAGCCGGCATGGCCGCCACTTTCGGCGCCCAATGGCCCCTGCGCATCCGCCCGCTGCTCGCGCCGGACCTCCAACGACTCGCTGCGCAGCTCACCTCTGCAACGCCGCCCGCACCTGAGCTGCAACATGTTTTTTCACACCTCGCCGCACCACTTTCCTGGAACAGCTGGCAACAGCTCCTGTCACGTCTCCACCTCTCGCCTACCACCTATGCAGCCTATACCGCCGCCATGAGCCAGGACTTCGGACCCGGTTGGCGACAGCGAGCTGTCCACGTGACTGCTGCAGAAACGGCGCTCTGCCAGCGACAGCACTCAGCGCAGTCCAACCACCCATTGCCTCCAGAAATCCACCCACTCCTTACCCAACTGCCACATGCCGTCACCTGGAATGCCTGGCAGCGTGCACTCTCCTTCTTCTCTCTCCCACAAACCACTCCCCTACAGCACGCACATGCTATGCTCGATACCTTTGGACCCTCCTGGGCAGCTGCAGCCACTGCGCTTACCAGCCCCGAACTGCTGCAACTTACTGCTGCGTGGCAGCCTACACCGCCGCTGCCCACTCCAACCACTGGCACTATACTGCTACTACCCAACGGCGCACCAGACGGCGTGCTACCCTGCATGGATTACGAGTCCATGTGAGCCAATCGCTGCTCGCGCTGGAGACGCACCCGGCCTTTCCCCTAGCTTGCCGGCAGACCTTCATGAAGATCAAGCGACGCATCATAGTGCTACTTCACGCATTGGCTCGCCTGCAGCATCGCCGCAGGCGTCGCGTCCATCCGGCTTCGCTGCGCAATTTGCGGCCGGGGCGCCGTGCGCCGACGAGGTGCCTGTGACTCCGAAGCGTCAGCGCGCAAAAAGCTGCCTTTCTGTTCCAAAAGCAACTGACACTGAAATCATGTTGTTGCGGTTCTAAAGACACACAGTCTTGTACTCTATTTCCCTGCCGTCGCAATTCCCGCCCCCAGGTCGAACCTGCCCGTGACCGTTCTCCACCTAGGCCTCATCACCAGTCTCAGCCGCGGCGCTGGGGTATTTGAGCCCTACACTTTGCGGTTGCACACCTGCTGACTGTTACGACCAGAAGACTTCGTTGTTCATTGTTCATAGCAGATTCATCGCTTGCCGTCTCAATACAGCTGCACAACCACGACCCGTTAAAACAAAAGCGTTTTAATGTTCCTCACTGTTTTCCTATTTCCTAAACCTGACGCCAGGAATCATCACCAACAATTCTCATTCTAATGCAATCCTCGGATTAATCAACGGGCCCCCCCCCCCCCCCCCCCCCCC